ATTTCGTGCTGAAGTTTTTAAACTTCTTTTATCGTTTTTTTCTTTTTTAAAATCCAGAACTAGGAGATAATATATAGATGTTTGTATGTGTATCAGTTATAAGCTAGAACTAATTTAAAATTATTATCCACCTTTTTAATAATATGACAAAGCTGATCATCATGAAACATGTCATGATTATTGAATGAGATAGATAAATAATTTCTAATGAAAAATCTTTCTGAAATTATATGTAATATTTAATTGATATTTTAGGTGCTTCCCTGGTTTCCATAGAAGATTCAGCTGAAATGAACTTCCTCTTATTTTACTTGTCTGCAATTGCAAGTGACTTCAGAAAGTTTTGGATAGGATTATTCAAAAATATTGATGGTAATTATTTCACATTGCATATTGAGATAAAAATGCTCAGAAGTAAACAGTGGGAAATCACCTGTTAAATAATTAATAGATTTTTCTGCTAAAATACTTTAAAAAATTAGTCATCAAGAGGTGTACAATTTTTGTATCTTTACTGTAATTAGAGTATATTTCAGTCTGAAAAAGGTTCCACCTTAGATCTGCAATAGTTGATTAAATGTCTCCTGTCACTTTTTTATGCCATGTGTTTGATATTGAACTGGTGTTAGTCCTTTAAGAAAAATATTGTCTTGCAATTAAAAGCTCAGGCAGCTTTAAACTGAAATTTATTTCTAAACAACACAGGAGAATAGCAACTTATATGAATGGCCTAGCAACATTTCTTAATCTTATTTTTCATTTTTTCCGTAAATTTTTGCTGGAATATTTCATTCGGTCATTGGTGGAGTATTTCATCCAAATTATGTCAGCTTTTTACTTGTACTTGTGGTTCAAAATTTCCGGTGAAAAATATTGGTGAAAGCAAATCTAATTCTATTTTGTGTATCATTATAATTCGAAAGCTTGTTTTTCCTGGCAATCTTTCAGAGTACAGCTCCAGAGCAAGTCTCAACTGGGCTGCTGTGGTCCTGGCCCTGGCTGCCCAGTTCCCTTGACTCTTGCTGCCAGCAGTGGCAGGCATATTGCTGCATGGTAGGCCAGTTAGAGCTGCTCTAGCTGAAAACTAACTGTTCAAAAGAAATGATTTGTTCCCTGTGCTGGGCCACTGTATTGCCACATGGGTGTCAGTGCAAACAGAGGCAACAGCAACCTGCAGGTGCAGAACATGGCTTTGAGAAGGTGGGATTGTGGCAACTGCAAATTATGTCATGAAATGCTGCCATGAAAGTACACCATGAAGAATTAGAGATTGTAATTATTTCTACTTCATGGGCCTGGGTATGAGAAGAGAAGGGAATTATTATTTAAGAGGTCTGATTCAGTCTGCTAAGATAATTAATTGATCTGATTTTAATAAAACAGCTATTCACTGGCCTTTGATCCATATATAAAGAAAATTTTCAGAGTGGTCTGGATCCTTGAACTGAATGATCACAGAGAATGCCTTGCACTGGCACTTTGCTTGTTCTCAAGGTGCCCAGGCACTGGCAAAGTCTGGACACTGGCTTTGATTAAAAGTACTTGGGCAGCTAGGTCATTTCCTTCATGCTTTGCTGTCAGCCATGACTGTCTAGGGTAATGGAGTTAACTATGTCTATATACTGCTTATGAGAACTTACATTTGACACATGCCCATCTGAACATCTCTGACTGTTAAAAGAGTGAGAACTGAGTCCTCTGTTACGCTAATGTGCTAATTTAATCAAATAATAAATTGCATGCACAGATGTAGTAGTATCTGGTAGAGAAGAAATGATTCCCCACTTCATGCACTCAGTAGTTAATACTTTTAATTTTAGGGGAATGGACGTGGGCAGACAGGAGTGCAGTAGACTTTGTCAACTGGGACAAAGGAGAACCTACAGCACTTTTTGCGGAACACTGTGTTGACATGGATGTCTCAAATGGAGCCTGGAGGAACTATTACTGCTCTGTTGATCAGAATTTTATTTGCAAAATCCCAAAGAGTAAGTTCTGCATTCTGTGTACTGGGTTATTTTAGAAGTAGCAGTTAATACACCCTATTCTTATGCACTGGGTACCCTTTTTGTATTGATGCTTATGCATGGGTTCCCTACTTGCATTAAAGCCAAGAGTAACTCTTCTTAAGGACAAAGAAAAATAATTTTGGAGAAGAACCTGAGGGTCATTATTTCCTATTCTCAGTGCAAAAGCATTTATTTCTTGGTACCTATCTGTACTCCTGGGGCGGGGGAGGAGAGCATATCACTTGGTAAGGGTGCAGGGGAAACCTGAGAAGCATTACAGTTAGACTGTAAGTGGCAGTAGATGATGAGTAGATGACTGAACCAGTGCTGAGAAGAGAGAAAGGCACACTCTTAATAGAAGAGCCAAAAGGCAGCAGTGGAAAGTTACTGAGATCCTGGCAAGTAATGCAGGTGCTGCTGGTGGGATCAGGAGGAGTGTCACATGCCTGGGATCTGCTGGATGGCCAAGCAGACGGTACAAGATGCGGGTGGGCCCAGTTTGTTTCCCTCAGTCTCACTAACAGGCACAGGGAGACCTGCAAGGCCTATTCAACAGCCTAGTACATTTGATTTTTAATGTTTATTTGTGGCCCTGTGGGTTCTTTTGGGTGTTGATCCATGAGAAATCTGAATGCATTTCAGACTAGGGTAACGTCCACCTTGTGTGCACAGCATTGCTGCGTAAGATGTGAAGTATGTAAATCTGCACGTACATAGGTAGCATGAGTCACCATGCACGCATGGAGTCTGCTGTGTTTACGCAGATCAGTGGGGAGATAGTTTGAGATTTGTAACATTTCCCTTGGGCAAAATGATCCACTGCACAAGTATAATAGATGCAATGTGGGAACAATTAAAACTCCTGCTTTTGGATCTCTAGATGTTGGAAGACTGGCAAATGAGTCATCCACGCACTTTGTAGGGCCATCCTGCCAGCCCAGTGAGCAATTCACTAGATTACACTCCCCAGCCAATGGTGGAAGGAAAAGCAAGTTTCCTAAAAATTCCACTTCAATGCTTTCAAGTATAAAAGTTCTTTTCTTTTGCAAGTGTAAGAAATTGAATTTCTCAATGTGAATGTTAGATGCCATGGAAATGTGAAAACTTCCAAAGTCTGTCTTCCTTCACCAAAAAAAGAAGCACTCAAAGCAATTAACAATGAGACAAAAACTTTTGTTTATTTTAAGAAACATTTTAGCAAAAATATTAGATTGATACAGCCTGAATTGTCAGGAAAAAATATTTTCATATATTTTTCATCTCCATTATTTAAAATATCATACGAACACAAAATAAAAGATATGTATGCAGTATTTATTTACTCTTTGATTGGTTGCTCACAAACTCTATGTAATGTATATATTTTTAATTTTAAAGTTCCTACAGTTGAACCAACCCGTGATTCATCAATCCATAAAGGTAAGTTTGCTTCTTGTAAGCATATTAAATAGAAATTTCTGTAACTTACTTATAGGCATTTATTATTTACTAATAAAATTGTCTCCAGGTAAGTTTCAGTAAAATTTAACTCAAGCTTTTATTTTAAATTTCTTTAGATGGAGAACTCTTCTCTTAAACCGGTTGTCTTACTGAATTTAGATATTTATGTTGTTTTCTGAATTAATTTTAATGAATATAATGTTGCTTTTAAAAGTAACATTGAAGAGACCAAGCCAAATTTTGCATCATCCATCCAGAATTTGCATCGGCTTTAATTGCTGTTATTGTTCAGTATTTTTACAGTCAAACTACTTAATTTACTTATGGAAACGTTTATTGTATACAGTAGCACTCTTTGGTCATTTGTGGTAACTTTTTTTCTTTTTTTTTAATTTTCACAGCATCAAAAAATGAAGCTACTTTTGCATCTGCGCATGGATTCAGTGGGATGATTGTTATACTAATTTTTCTTCTTCTAACAGGAACTGGCCTTACAATCTGTTTTTTCTATAAAAAAAGACATGATCAGCAAACAATCACAGCCAGTTTTGACAATACCATATACTGTGGTGATGCTGAACCTGGAACTCACGAATCAAACTGTCTTGTGACCAATATCGAACAAAATGAACAGGCAATAGTTTAATGAGCAAAGTAAACTTGTGACTAATTTTAAAAGAAATTAAAGCACTAGAATACAAGAATTCTTAAGGCAAAGTGGTTTTCTCCTCTGGAAATTCTAGTCTGTTTTGCACATGATGCTTCTTGTTTTATGTACTAGCACGAACAAATAATCTTGTAAGGCTCTGAAACTGCTCACAAAGAATAGCATCTGGAAGGACAGTTGAGTATATACTTAAACCTGGAACTACACTGTGTAAGTGGACACTCAGGCATTTCCAGCCTCTACATGGGACCAGCATCACCTTTTGGCCACAAGGAGAACTGTGCTCATTAGAGGTAACTGTGAGAATAAGCTCCTTAGTATGCTCCAAAAAGCACATCACCGTCTGTAGCAATCCTGAAAATGTCATGCTGCGAGCTCCAGCACAGACTGTCAAGAGTTGGGCAGTTTCAACGGGACCTCTGGAGCTCGTCTGGCCTCTTGTCCTTGCTGTGCACCTCTGAGAAGAGTTTGGCTGTGTCTTCTCTATAATCCCCCTTTAGCTAGTTGAAGATAGCGATCAGGTCTCCCATCAGCCTATAATTCTCCCAGCTCTCTCAGCCTCTCTTCATATGTCATATACCTGTACATCGAGGTCCCTACCCCTCTAAGTGGCCCTTGGTTAGACTCACTGCAATTTGTCAATATCTCCCTTTACCTAGAGGCCCAGAGCTGGACAGAGTATTCCAGATGCGGCCTCATAAGTGCTGTGTAGAGGGCAATAATAATCTTGACCTGTTATCTATGCTCTTGGTAATGCAGCCCTCAGTGCAGTTGGCCTTCATCACCTCACGGGCACAGTGCTCACCCAAGTTTGACTTTCAGGCCCCTAGGATTCCATATCCTTTTCTGCAAAGCCCTCTCAGCTGGTTGGCCTCAGAACATACTGCTTCATAGAGTTATTCCACCTCAGGTGCGGGTGACCACTTCAGGTGCAGGTGAACTTCATGGAATTATTTCACCTCACGTAACTTTGAACCATTGACCACTACCCTTTGAACCTGGTAGAGCAGCCAGTTTTTCACCTGCCTCGCAGTCCATCCATCCAGTCCATACCTCTTGAGTTTAGCTGCAGGGATACTACGGGATATGATGCTGAAAGTCTTGCTAAAGTCAACGTAAATGACATTCACTGCTCTCCTCTTGTCTGCCAAGCCAATCATTTTGTCCTAGAAAGTAATTGGTTTCACCAGGATCAGTTGGCCTATGGAAATCTATTCTGACTGTTCCCAATCACCCTTTTGTCCTTTCTGTGCATGGAAATGGCTTCCAGGGGAACTTGTTCCATAACTTTCCCAGGTTGGCTGAGATGAGGTTGCCTGACCTATAGTTCATTCATTCCTATTTTGAAGATGAGTGTGATGTTTGACTTTTCCAATCATTGGGTGTCTCCCCCGCTCACTGTGACTTGTCAGAGATGGTAGACAATGACCTCAGCCAACTCCCTCAGCATCCTCTGAAAGCCATCCCGTCTGATCCCGTGGACTTTTGTTTATCCAGTTTACTTTAGTCCCTAACTCAATCCTCCTCTACCATGAGTACTCCTTCTCCCCTAAACTCAGCAGCTACATACAGAGAGTTGGAAGGCTTGAGAGGGGGGTTGAGGGCTTTGAGTACCTCAACCTTGTCCGTGCATGTAGAAGTAGGTCGCCTGCCCCATTCAGCCGTGGACCAACATCTTCCTTTTGCTGCTGAGGTACTCCTAGAAGCCCTTCTTGCTGCCTTCCATATCCCTTACTAGTCTCAACTCCAGCTGAGCTTTGGCTCTCCTAATTCTGGCCTGGCGTGCCCAGGAGATATCACTATATAACTGCTGAGTCGGTCGTTGCCGTTCGTACCTTCCAAACACTTCTATTTGAGTTTCAGCTCAATCAAAAGTTTCCTGTGTGGCCAGGCTGGCCTACTGCCTTGCCTACTTCTTTTCTTGCACATTGGGGTAGACCTTTCTTATGCTTTAAGGAGGTTGTCCTTAAAGATGAAGAAACTATCCCAGGCTCCTTGGCCTTTCAATCAGCATATCATCACAGATTTCACTTTGGATTACTGTTGTACAAATTCAGGTCAGAAAGCTTCAAAATCAGACAGCATGTGTTTTCATACTGGGATTTTCTTTAATTCTGCAACATAGTTGTAATATATGAACAATACAATATTCAGAGTTTTTCATCTCAAAAATATTATTTAATCTTATCTTTTGATCTTTTGTAAAGTTTCAGTCATATCTAAATTAACACATTTTCCTCCTCTACATACGGCTGATAGAAAGGGAAATGTTAATAGCTTTTCTTCTGCTATATTTCTGTGATATAAGCGATGAAAGATTACGTATAATATGAGGTGTGAATGTACTATGTATAGAAATACTGTATCATTTAAATAATAAAATAGGGACCTCAAAGGATTCTGCCAAAGGCAGGATCAAGCAGAATGAATTATACTTAATTCATAGCTGACAAAACTATGTAAAACTTATTCTTGAAATCTGCAATATCAGTGAAGTCTTCAAACATTTTTAGGCCATTAATTCAAAGCCTAAAGAATCTTGCACTGATAAAGGCTTTCCTAATTTCTAGTCAAATTCTCCCTGTCCAAGTTTGTTTTAATCCTGCAAATATCCAGTTATTCCAGACTTCCATCGTGATCTAGCAGATAGCACTGCATTTCATATCAATGCACTGCTGTATCATCTGGGTTCAGAAAGCTTTAAAATATACAATGTATTCACATATAGGTAATTTTTATTTTTCCAGTGTATTTTATGCTAAGTGTAAACAATGAAATGACTCAAAGCTTTTAGTGTCATGAAGGTCTTTATGTAATTTGATATCTTAATTTTTTGTCAAAATTTAATCATATTTAAATTAAAACATTTTACATTGTTATGAGTGGCTGAAATATATGTAAATAAGTTTTTTCTTGTTCTACTTTGGTTTCATTAAAAGATTGGTTCTAAATAAAATTGCGTATGTATTCTTAAATTAACAGTTTATCATGAAAAGTAAAAGTATTAGAAAAGAGGGATGGGATTCTTAAGATGCTATACTCAAACCAGCATCCACTGAGCTTTGTCTAACATGTTCTTAATCTCCGGTAATGATATGCCTTTACCACCCCATGAAGCAGTGTGTCTCAGCTTCTTTATCCCTAACATTAGAACGTTTACCCTAACACATTTCTAATGAAAATGCCTCCTGCTGTAATTTAAGACAATTCAGGTACTGTACTGGTCTAACACTTTCTGAGGCGGACTCTTACATTTTTGATAGCTATTGTCATGTCTCTCCTCCGTATTTTATGATAGTGACACCAATTCTTCCCCTTTTACTTCACTGGAAATGTCTTCTAGATCTCTAATCTATTTTTCTGTTCCCTTCTAGACCTTGTTCTATGTTATCTAGGTCCTTCTGATAGCACAATGCGCTAATGTGAATGTGGTATTTCAGGTGAGATGCTAACAGCAGTGAACACACAAAAAGATTAATCCATCAGTGTGGATGAATCCCCAAGTGTGGATTTGTCATAAAGTCCCCTTCTGCGTGAGTTTGTCTGAATTAGTTCTGTAGGATCTGTAGGTCTGAATGGAGAAACTGTTACTAGAAACCAGTAGCCAAAGAGAGGAAGATTACAAAATGAGATGGTAGTTTGTGAAAGTTCCAACAGACTGATAAGCTTTATAGACTAGTAGTGCTATTGCATCTGTGAGAATTAATAAACTCAGGACACCAATAGTGTGCTGGGGCTGTAGAGGCTGCTAGTGCGCACAAGCATGAGCAGTGGGTTGTATAATTCAGACCACATCCAAGACAGTGGTGGCTGCTATCTGATAATGAAGACTACAACCCTCTGAGGGACCTTCCAAACACTTACCTAGAAGCCACTGGAGTGTCAGTATGACCCCCTTTGCCCAACTGTATAGTTGAGGTTGGCTCCCAAACCTTGCTCCAACCGGGTAACTAAGGGTGAATGTGTGTCACAGTGAACTGTGTGAGTGAAGAAGAGAATGTGTGTTGTGACTAGTTATCTACTATTTATAAAAAACAGCTTGATTCTATTAGTAACAAGAGCTTAGCGAAAGGAAAACTTGTTCTGAGCAATACTTGTGATCGGCATTTCCCTCCCACCTTGATCCTCTATCTGTGACAAGGAAATTTACAACAAATTTCAGCTTGTGCATCCTGCTATGATGCTGCTTCTTCTTAAAGTTTTTGTTTGATGTTAAGCTTTTGATTCTGCATCTCTTCCTGCAGAATTGCCTGCCTAGGCAGCTGCCTCCACTTTGTGCTCCTGCAGTGGATGATGCCCTTTAAAGTGTAGAGCATTGCACTTGTCCTTACTGAATTAAACCCTAAGTACTTCAGAACTTTTCTGCAGCTGATGAAAATTATTTTTAGTGTTAACCCTGTCTTTCTGTACCCACAGCCTTTTGACCTGGAGGAACAATCTATATTCTCTTTAACTTAATCCAAATACTCACTGCAATAAGATAAGAAAATGTCTAGCCTTGCTCCTAGGCTGTGGGAGCTTGCAGCACAATGAGTGCTCCAACCGCTGAACAGTACCACTCCTTGTCCTGCAGGTACATTTCTAAAGGAAAATGGTGGCTGCCGCTGTGTTTCGTACTGGACCATAGCTAATAGATCTGCTCTGAGAGTGCTCCTCAGACAGGACAGATATAGGGCTGCCTAGTTTAAAGATACTGATTATACTTAAGGTATGAAATAAATGCTGGACTGCCATGATTTGCCACATTAAAGTACTTGGACACAATACCTAGAAACAGACATAGGAGAACTTCAATGTCAAAAAGCAAGCTTTTAACAGCACCTAGCCACCTTCAGGTTTAGGCTGCAGTAAAATAGGGATAATAGCACAATTTGCTGTTCAGCTTTCAAATAGATTTTGTATTTGGGCTTCGGTGCAGCATATTAGCATTTGTAAAATGCCTCTCCATATGGACAGGATGTTGAGACCTACTTTCTCAGTTGCTTATCCTTTGTTTCTTTATATTAGGATAGTATTTGAGAGAGAATGTCCTGACTTTTCTCAGAATTTCACTGCTTTATACCTGTAAGCTACATCTGTAACATGGCTGAAAGAGTAGGAAATTCTCAACTTGAATTTATTACTGAGTATAATGCAGTAACTTCCTTTAGGGAAGTTCTTCTCTGTGGAAGAATTCACCATAGCAGCTTTCTGTAATGTGAGAAGGTGACACAGCTGTGGCAGACAAATCTACGAAGAAAAATGGAACATCCCCCTCTTCTAAAAGAATACTAATTTACACAGCAATTAGATGGTAATATTGATATCAGTAACCTGGAATAGCAAAGCCAAACAAATGTTAGCTACAGTTCCTTGGCTAAAGCAGGCATCTGAAAAGAAGTTAATGAACAGACATTATTTAATTGTGCCATTTCCATTTCTGAAAATAGAAGACTAAAATGGGATATGAAGAGCAATTTGAAACAAAATATAAGAAAGATCTATAAATGGAAGTACAATAGATAGACAGATAATTGTGAAACGAACTGGTGCCCTCAGGCCGAATTCCAGCGGGCAAGAGCCAGATTTTCTGGTGTCAGTAGGCAAAGTCTGAACTGCTCCGTAAGCATAAACTTTTCCTGATGTCACTGTATCCGGACACAGGAAAAGTTAGGGTTCAATTTTCTCCCTTTTCAGCTGTGTCCTTATTTGACATATCCAGCTTTCTCCCTTCTGTAACATTCTGCAAAGCACAACCTTTAACTTACTATCTGCTAAAGAATGATAGCTAAAGCATTTTCAGAATATGTTTTGCCATTCTTCTGGGAAGAAATGTATCTCTCATTTCAGGAGAACACACACAGTGCAAGCATTATCATCAGTATTGCATTCTTGTCCAGACTATTGATTTAGATAGCTAGATGAAATTCATCTCAGCTACATTTAGAACTAGTTGAAATAATTCTTCTTTATAGTCAATTGTTAGGAATATACATGTGAGGGTGCAATTCACCTGGCCTTGCTTAGGTATCTTTTAAATAGGATGCAGAGCTCCCTGTTGCGCATTGTGCAAAGGGAACTCTGAAGGGCCACGAGGCTGGAGAGAGACAATGGGACAAACCAGTTGAAAGAAACTGGAACCCCAGGAGCCCAGGAGCACAATTTAGCCTGGGGAAAGCGTGCATGCGTGTGTGGAAGGGGACGTGGCAGAGGGTAGAAAACATCTGTATGCTCCTACCTCATTTGTGTGGGTACTCTGTGGCCTTTTGGAAGGCTGTGGCGTCAGGGAAGAAGTTAGGGTATCTCTTTGTCTTGCTCTGACTCCTAACGTCCTGCACAGGGCAGCACCTTCTAGAAAGCACCTTCTAGAGGAGATGGCTTCTTCACTGAGAACAGTGGGTGTACACTGGTTTGGGTGTACACTTTGAAGTGTTGAGGAGGAGCGAAGAAGATGGGAGGGAAACTGCGTTGTGAGTACAAACTGGGGTATTCCTCAGAGGAAGAAAAGCTGAACTTATGGAGAAGCTGCAAGGGTGATGGAAAGGAGGAGATTTCTCCTAGAGAAGTATACAGGAACTATATGGAGTTTTTGCAACCCAAGAAGCCACTGAAAGCAAGCTTACAGGCAAGGACTTTCCATGCAAAGAGACCATGGAAAGGAGAGAGATTTGCTTTTAATCCTGTTTTTTAACCTAGCTTTTCTCAGCAGATCTGAATGTTCTGCATTGCACAAAGGTGTTGTTGGTTGTGTTCTAAGAAAAGATCCTGATAAAGAATGAAAACCCTTTTGGTGTTCTGGGGTATGCTCAGTTTGAAGAAAATATGAAGATAATTCTAGTTACTGGATCTGGCCAGCTTGAGGTCTACTTGCTAAGTAGAAAGCAAGAAAAACAGGTGAGGAGAAAAGGGGATACACTGATGTATTTGGTGTACTAGGCGTTTGATCAGTGGAGGGAATGAGAGGGTGAGTCAGAGGGTGAAGAGGATGGAGGAATAATAATAATTAATTAGCTATCTCTCATCCCCTCAGAATTATTTCTTGCACCCCCTTTTGCAAGAAAATTGCTCTTCATTACCATGTGATGGGAACAGCAGATTTGTCTCCTGATGACTGTACTTTTAGTTTGCTACCTCTTGGGATGGTGGTGGTTCTTAAGTTGCTATCTCAAAATAAGATTGTTAAAGGCACAGTTTGCTGTGTGCTCTGGCCTAATGATACATTTAAAAACAAGCAAAGTTTAGAATCTATTCAGAGTAAATTCTGTTTATTTTGGACAATTTATTAACAGGAAATGGGAAAACAGAAATGTGCAATCTTTGCACATTGCAAAGATAATAAATGTCTAATAAAGAAGAGACCATCTCACTTCTTGACTGATTATTTGTCAAAGCAGCTGCATTTAGACCACATAACAGTGAAGCTGTTCATCCTGAGTTGTATTCACAATGAAAGGGAATTGATTTTGCCACTAAAATCTGGCTAAGTTATGACTCCTTTATTGAAGATGAGAAATTAATGATATCAAAACTTAGTACAGAGACACAAAATAAGGAAGGAATTGTAAAAGAACAAGGAAACGAGAAATGAGATAAAAAGGAAGGAAATCCGTAGACATCGTGTGAAAGTTATTTGCATTCAGCTAAAGAATCACAAGAGGCAAGCAGGTTCTGTGAACTGTCTTCCTTTAACTGAATATTTTCCATTGCTTGTTGCATGCTTTTGTAATTTCTTGGTACTTGCCAGCATTCTTTAAAGCACTTATTAAATAAATAATTGGAGAAGGTGGGAGATGATTGTTTCTTAGAAAACAGTATAAAAGGAAATGAGTTTTAACATAGCAGATTTTTATACAATTGAAACTTAGGTGTAGAGTTCTGTTATTGACAAAACCAGTTATGTTA